GTAGGTTTTACAATAGAAATGTTCTTAATATGTATTAAAAAATAAATAAAAAAAAATTAATTAATAATTTTTATGTAATTCAAAAATTTCGAAATGGTTAGGATTTTAAAGCCCCCTTTCTACGCCAGACTATGTTTAGTTTATGAGATATTTTATAATTGCATAGGAATAATGTAAGTTCGCTTTCATATCTATAAATTCTATGGAATAGCCTTATGTCCAGCAGTGGACGGATAATGACTGAAATGATGATGATCTATAAATTATATAGATTAATAAATCCATATCTTACGAGCTTATTAACAGTCATATTAATTAAATATGTGATAAAAATATTATTTGACCTTGCCTTTATCCCATTGTTTGGGCGCGGCTTATTATGATAACGAGCCCATAAAATGTTTATTTTTTTAATTAAATGTTATCACGATAATAGAGTAATATAGTTCGTAGTCATAGATTAAATAGTAATAGTTGTAATTCCTTTCGGTATCACTTTTGACGTCAAATAGACGTCAAAGATAGGTGAAATAGGAAAAAAATATAACGATGATATTAGCTACTGTTCATATACCTATATGTATATGTATTATCGCTATAAGAAAAAGGACTCTGCTCATAAGTATATAGACAGAGTCCTCTCCCTTTGGAATAAATACGACAAACAAACGTCTAATATTTATATGACGAAGATTTGTTTGTTTCAAAGATTAGGGATAAGGTTTGGGGTTCTAAAACTTTCTTGACATTGATTTGAACCTAATCACATACTTCACATAGATGCTATAGCATTTCGTTTACGTCAAAACTTAGCAGTATTTTTGTAGTGAAATATTATATTTATCCCATTTATTTTTACCGGTTACACAACGGGTGGGACAGGTGGAAAAAAATTCCACTTTTACCCCCTAAGGGGAAAGCTGGTAGTGACTAGTGGACCTGGCTCTTTTTTTAACATTCAATTAATATCTTCCTGGGAAGTAAGACACACCCCTTTTGCAATGATGAAATAAATCTGTTGGGTATAATAGATTTTTTAAAAACGTCTTTTTGTTATATAAGAAGTAAATTTCTAACACTCGTATACTGTTTTGCGTGTATTATACACGCCAAAAAAATGCCTATCCTCGCAAATTACGAACCGATTTTGATAATTATTTTTGAAAACTGACTGGGTTTACTCTCGTGTTTATCTCACAGTGCTGCAGGGAATATATTTAAGGTCGTTGATCTATCGTCGATTTATCTTATGGTGCCAAAAATAGCAAGTTTTTACTAGCGATCCGCTTCGGATTCACAAGGGTAGATAGAATTTTCTAAAATAATATCGATAAGTGAAAACAATTTTTGAGTTTATGCATTAAAAACAAGTACCTAATCTAACAAATAATCAAATCTTTTCTCGTTGTAATATTAAGTACAGATAATTAATATGAAACGAATCCGGGAATAAAAAAATTATTAAAATTGGTTCAGAAAATCGCGTAACATTGTCACCAAAAATAAACCTCAGTCCTCAGCAATGGTGACACATGAAGGGTACAATGGGCGTCACGGTGTATTCTGTGATGCCAAACAATTGGAATCACAGAATACATTGTGGCCCTCTTAACATTTGCAATTGTTTATTTTAATAATATCTATAATAACTCTTAATATCTATACGCGACACCGTTATCACTTTCCATCAGATAGATTTTCAGCTTGTTTGCTTTATTCTATTTGATTTATTTATTACTATATTATTTATTTATTATTTTATTTATTTATTTATTCTTTATTGTCCACATTACAAACAAATATAAATTGCATAAAAAAATTGACCTAAAAAGTCGCTGAAATTTATTTAACCAAGCTTAAGTATACAGTTTGTAGGGTCATTAATTCTAATTAAAGATAGACGAATAATTAATTGTTCTAGTAACAAAATATCGCCATGTAGTCCCGGCATAGAATGGGCCTTAATGATCTAGGGATGGACAGCAACGTCCCGCTTAAAACATCACCAAAGCCTAACTGCGTTTGCCAATCCGCCTACCAAGCCTGGCAACTACAGACAAGACTACAGGAAGGTCTATGTTTAGCAGTGGACAGTTAATGGCTGATACGATGATAATGATACTAAGTAATAAAAGATAGTAGCTAGGAATACCATATCAGATTAAACAATAGTCTTTAGTACTGATTATGATATTGTTTTTGTAGATATTGTGTGACTTAGACTGTGAAATACTAACGGAGATCGTAAAATTGTTTATTTCGGTTTATTGGTTTCAGTCGATATACGTAGCCTTTACGATGGTTGGCAAGTTTATAATCTTGGCGGTGTAATATTTGTATTTGATTTAGTGTTTCACTTTAATTTATTATGATATTTGAGTATATTAAATCATCAGTGAAACATTTTTATTAACTAACAGCATCCCGCAACAATTTCCGCGTGAATTAGGATAAAAAATATTCGTACGTATTAATTTAAGGTAACGGTCTATTTATGTACAAAATTTCATTAAAATCTGTTCAGTTATATAAGTAGAATTGAGTAGGTAACAAATAATAAAACATCTTTATAAAATTTCGTGTTATTATTTATGGATCATCATCAGACGAGGGTATCATGTGCTCTATTATGTCCATGGTACTGCTTATGTCTATAGGCGACAGTTGCCACTTTTCATCAGGTAGGCCGTCAGCTTGTCTGCCATTCTAAGTTGTATAAAAAAAAGACATTATTCGTTAACTTCTGAATATAGGACTCCCCCTTAGACGGGTTTTCCCAGTAGTTGTCTTGTCGCGGGCATCCTACTATACATAATTATAGAAATACGCCTATTAATATCGATGAATGAGTAAATTCTACAATGAAGACATATTAAAACGTTCCAGGGCAGAATTCTGGCAATTCTTCAAATCAGTCGTATGGTAACAGCAAATTTTAGCTATGCATGTATGTACTTAGTTATTTATAAATATTTAAATGAATAGAAAAGATTTGTTATTTTTTTTTTGAACGAAGCTTACAGCTTTAATGACTTAATAATTAAATATATATAACAACAGTGACCCAATTAAATGCTACCATATATAGCTAATGAAAATTGATATTAGGTACAGTGTTATCTATACTAATTAATAAGTAAGAAAACCCAAGTTAAACATCATTAAAATCATTGAGTGAATAATTATAAAAGACATTATAAAATATATTTTTTATTGTAATTAAAATAGAGTAATATAATTAGAGACTATATGAGCCAAATATGTGAAACAAAATATCTGAAAATAGCCGTGTAGTCCCGGTATAGAATGGGCCATCCCTTTCATTCCCATGGATGTCGTAAGAGACTAAGGGAACTTTATAGTCGAGAGATGGAGAGCAGCGTCTTTTTTAAAACATCATCATAGCCTAATTGCAGTTGGCAATCCGCCTGCCAAGCATAGCAACTACTGAGGAAATCCCCCAATCTTCTACCGGGGGGTTTCCTCAGTAGAGGCTATGTTCATCAGTTAACTGTTGATATTATGATGAAGATGTGGGAAAAAATGGTCTTATCTTTAAACGAAATGTTTTCTAATGAACCACTGAGTCAAGAAGATTCTTGATTTATTGTTAATAAATCAAGAACTCTCTTGACTCAGTGTATAGATAAGATTAACTGTAATTCAGTTGCGATTTGCAAAAACTTCGTGTGTCAACAAAAAACACTGGGTCAACGACCACTGTATAATTTGATCCTATTGCTTTTATTTTATTAAGCGATACATCACTTAGTTTTACAACACCTAGTCGATTGAAAGTGTTGATAAACTCAATAAGTGCTCTGACAAAGATAATACCTATTCACTATTCATTCGAAGAGTCCGAAGTTATGTTTCTTTAAGAAGATGCAAAGGGCAAGAGCATTTTACTTCTTACCTTAGAAATGCCGACGCAAACTGCTTCGTAAGAACAAATCATCGCACTTTTCATACACATTACTTAAAATGTAATAAAAACATAGGTTAAATGCAATAAAATATTTATATTACTATTTAATATACTAATTTAGTTGTTTCTCCATGGTTTAGTACTCACCAAATATTCAAACAATCTGTAGACGTTTTTCATTTTTAAAATTAGATAGTTAATTCTATAAACGACGGTTATGACTTTCTATAAGGCAGCTTCTTTGCCATTTTCATTTCTATGCCATTAAGTGTCATAAAATAATGTCTGAAGTAGGATTTTTGTAAATTTTAGATATCGCAAATGATACGTCACCTAGAAGTAGTAAACTACTTCATTAGTTCTTCTGTTTTTTAAATATACGCGTAAAAAGTGGCAAGCAAAAAGCTAGTACCCAAATAAAATTACTCTTAGACTTTTACGCAGCATGTTTATTAATTATATTTTATAAGAGATGATCATTAACACGATCATTAAGGTAAATTATGACAATTTACTTGAATTACTTTTTTTTATACAACTTAGAATGGCAAACAAGCTGACGGCCCACCTGATGGAAAGTGGTAACCGTCGCCTATAGACATGAGCAGTACCATGGACATAACAGAGTATACTGTTTCGCCCATGATACCCCCCATGCGTTGCTATTCCTGAGGACTCAGGTGTTATTCCTCTGTACCCAGTAAATTCACGCCATATCCCACCCTTCAAAGCGAAACACAGCCATGCAAACACAACTGCTTTATGGTTGAAACACGAATGGGACAGAGGTACCCAAGCAATCGACTTTTGTACAAAATCTCCCTCTGGTATGGGTCTGGTCTGGTATTACCTGTTATGATTATTATTCTGGCGTCTTATAATCGGATATGGGGTTCTTCAAAATATATTAAGATTTCTTTTGGGTCGGCAACGCGCAAGTGACACCTTTAGTGTTGCAAGCGTCTATAGGCTACAGTGACCATTTACCGTTATAGGGCTATACGCTTGTTTGCCACCATCGTGGTATAAATAGAAAAAAAAAATAACAATACAATTACTCTGTCGTGTACAGATGCAAGAAGCTGTGTGACATGCGACAAGGTGTTGGAGGAGTTAGAGAAGATAGACGACGACACGGACACCTTCGGAGTGGACTTCGTAAAAATCAACGACAAGCGGCTCGCGAAGCAGTATGGCATCACGAAATTCCCCGCCCTCACGTACTTCCGTGAGAAGGAACCGATTATTTACGAAGGTCGGTAAATTTTCTGTTGTAAGCATCTACAAATATTTTAAATGCAAGAATTAATTCAATACGATGCTATCACTTTCTCTCTGGTGGATTACTACAAAACGTATATTCAAATAACAAGTACTCATTATCTTTACTTCCTTACTAATATTATAAATGTGAAAGTTATTTTTTTATATTATTATGGTTCTGTAATGGGTGATAATGGAATGGTAATCCCGCCTGCACTATCGGTATATGCTGGCGGGGCACCAGTGACGGATGAATGCAGGTCATTTAGCCCATCACGATGAATTCAACAAGAATTCCACAGGGGGACCGCGTGGAAGTCGACCTAATAGGGTATATTTTTTAATGGGTGGTAATGGAATGGTAACCCCGTCTGCGCTATCGGTATGCGCTGGCAGGGCACCAGTGAGGGATAGTTGATAATGAAAAGGCAGGTCAGTTAATCAATCGTGACGAATACATTTAGAATTTAGCATGCTTATTGCTAGCAATAGGAGTACTAGGCAGTAATCCGCATTACTAACAAACCCTTCCCCGCAATAAAGTATATTGCTAGCAATTGGGCTATTTGATTCTATTGCTAAAAATCTCTTTTCACCCATCCTACTATAGTGCTTTAAAGATGCTTTTTTAATTATAAAGCACTATTATACCTACTTGTACAACAATTAGTTCATTACCTTAAGGTTGTCTTGAAAAGATTGCTCTCAGCAATAAGACCGCCTTACTGTACTTATACAATTGTATCGTTATGTTTGTAAATTGTCTTGTTTATTTCCTATATTGTATAATGCAAATAAACTATACTCATTCATTCATTCATTCATATAGTGGCAAAGAAGCATACGGCCCGTTCGATGGTAAAGTTACCGTAGCCTACTGGTATGAACGCCTGCACAAGGTGGCTCATACGCGCTTTGCTGACCCTACTTTGTTTGTTTGTGTCTCTTAGTGCCCCTTCTGATTTCTTATTGACTAATACTCATAGTTCATCATAACGACTATCTGAAATCTTTTTTATTCTAATTCTATCAGGTTGTGTATACAAGTATACCTATTGTCTCGGTTTACGTAATACGTAATAAAATAAGTCGTTTATTCTTAGAACTTTTTGATTGTTATGATTATAAATTAAAGTTGAAAGACCAACGAACTGGATACATAAATATTTGATCAGATATAAATGATGTCCATGTACACAGTAAACAGCAGTAAAATTGTGAATATGTTTATTCACTATGTACTTCCTTAAAATAAACACCTGATCGCTATACTCGTAAATCCGAGGAAACTTCTTCTACTTTGGTAGGTTTTGACGCTAATAGTATATAATAATCTTTTCAAATTTATCTTTTCCCTAAACAGCTTGAGTAATTTGTTAGTTAACAGGTGGAGCGGGGGGGAAAGAGATTGTTCGTAATGGAGACTGAGAATCCTATTGTTAGCAATATACCCAACCAGGTCGACCTCATCGCGGTTCTTCCTGGAAACTATCATAGTTAATTCCTGACGAATTCGTCATGATGGGCTGGCCTGTTTTCATTCTCATCTATCACCCTTCACTGGTGCTCCTCCCGTTAGCGCAGGCGGGGTTACTATACCATTTTCATCCTTCAAAAAAAAAAACAGGTGGAGCGATAAATATCTAATTCATTAAAAAGATAGTTTGTTGTAACTCGTTTTATATTAATATAATTTTAATTTTGACTGCTTTGTTGTTTAATATTTTACCATTGATATATTTTTTGTTTTATGAACTACATTAAAATGAATGGGAAGAATAAAATTTAAAAATTGTTTAAGAAATTAATTTTATATTCTGTTTTATGGTCTTCATCTTTAACTTCACTGATCAGCTTACCAAAAGTGGTATATTTTATACGAGACCTTTTAAATATGGACGCTCATAATCTTTGCAAGCTTTTAATGAAGGGAGTTATCAAAGAATTTCGTCTCCATATACTTATTTATCCAGATGTTTAAGAAAATACAGAGGAGTTACTGTATTCTGCGTCTTATTTAAATTATGAAGATGAAACATAAGTTCCAAAACATATGATGTTATAAGGATAAACGACTAGCAAGTAACTAATTAGCAAGTAAATAAACTTGACGATAGTCAATCAGTGATTGCCATGTAAATGTTTAAAATATTCTTTATTAACCTGTTTTATTAAAATCTATTATAGGAGATCTCATGGACGAAGAGAGCGTCCTGGATTTCTTGACGAGTTTAGAAGCAATGGACCTTCCTGACCGAATAGAAGAAGTCAACCAGAAGATCCTCTCTAAGATCATCGAGGATACAAACTACGTTGCTGTTCTTTTCTGTAAGTGTTCCACTGAGCTCTCCATGTGTTCTTTTCTTCAACTTGTTAAACGATTGTGGTAAAATTCAGCGTTTTCTTAACTAACATTTGGATCATAAATTGGGTGCTGTAAATTCTATTATACCTTTAGATAATTTCATTGTCGCCTTCACTAAGTCACCATATCAGTTATTCTAGAGGTCCATACATTGTGCTGTTTGTTTTGATTGTGTTTTTGACGTAGGTCCTGATCACAAAAGTTGCGGCCCGTCAAACAGTAAGTAAGATCCGTAACTGGCGGAATGCCTCCTTTTATGTCTATTTGCCTGATATTCTTCTAGCTTTGTAGTATATATAGTATTGTTATTACTTTATGTTTCAGATGTGCTTTTCGCTTCATTTGCGAACGTTTAAACAATGAGACCTTTACTAGAAGTCTCAAATTAAAATATCAAATGTAATTTAAATGAACAATCGGTGATTAATTAGGCTAATTAAATCTCTGGCACTGATACAAAATAAAAGTAGTATGATTCATTGGGGAAATATGTATTGATAATTCATTAAGAAGAAATTTTCATACATATGAAATAATGATACATCAATTTTTAAATGTGATTCTTCTCGAATTAATTTCATTGCAGCGTTCTGTGTAATATAACAGTTGGTCAATTTATTATTAGTATCCAACGATTAGCTATAAATTCCGTTATCATTTGTCTGTCTGTCCGAACTCCGGTCTAAGGGAAAGGCAGAATCAAAAACGCGTTTGCATTATCGGGCCGTGAGGCGATCTATTTCTGCCGCGCTATTTGTGTCGCGCAGCAGGCTGGGATTGACGGACCGACTTGTCATGAGCCCACACTACATTCTCACGCCTAAATGATACGAAAGTCGATTAAAAATCCGTCTAACCACATAAAACAGTAGGTACATTTTACAATATACCAATCAACACAAGAAATGCTTCCAAAATTATATTTATAATATGATGACCTTGACCTAAATAATTGATTGAAGAGTAGCGTATAGCTGGATACGCAACAGCATGCTCTCATTTAAAAGTGGTTTACATCAGCTTCCGACATATCAGTAACTCTTTAACGAAATATAGCAAAAACAGTTAAGGTTAGTGTGTTGGTACCTATTATAAAAAGTATTATACATTACGATATACAATAGAAATATGATATTGTGATATTTTCACAATAGACCTAAGATTAAGAGAGTCTATATTTAGTTGCTTAGGCAACAGACATTATTTAGCTTCATATGCAAAGCACAAAATGTATAAAAGTTTTAGCTTTGGATCAAAATTGGAAAGGCATGACACAAACTACAGAAATGCCGACCATATCTAATTACAAATTGCACGACACAGCTTACTGCCACACACTTTAAACTTATCTTAACATACATTGTTCTAATTACGCACTGCATTTAACTGCACTGCTTCTTATCCCAGAAGCATGAATTCGGTAATTAAAAAAAAAAGCGAAAGAAATTAAGATTACATAAAAAAATTCATAAATTTTTTAACGTTTTTCAGATAAGCCCGAATGCAAAAAATGTGCTAAAGCTCTCCAAGAGCTGGAAAATATTGATGATGAGGCTGATCAGCTCGGAATTGGCTTCGTAAAGATCCACGACGAGGAACTAGCCGAAGAGTACAGTCTTGGAGATTTGCCAAGACTCGTGTACTACAGGCATCAAATACCTATTATCTATGAAGGTTTGTGAATCATTTTTACGGTTACTGACGTTAGAATTACGAAATAGATAGTGAATAATGGTATATAGTTAGGATCAAATGTTGAACGCGAGTTTTATTATTATGTAAGGTGGAATTAAATTTAGATATTTCAACCTACAAGTTCATAATTTATTTAAATTTCCTGATATACAAATCAGTACATTTAAAGTATAATCCTTTATGTGGTAGACAAAGATATTGTAACACTATCATAAGTAAGTAGTTTAGATATTCTTAGTCTCTATGGATCTCTACAGGACTAATTTAGTGCACCTCTTGCTTCATACACTAACGAAGATTGTCACCATCCACAGACGTTTTATCTGAACATGGTGGCTAGGTTTTCTGCTGTATTTATCTCTTTATTTTATCGCCCTATCCCATTTTATCATTTCCTTTTCATTCACAATGATTTCACATAAATATTAGCATTAATCACATTAGCATAGTATCAATTTAAATTTCAATTCGACCCTATAATTTTTTTTCAATTTAAATCTTTTATATCATTATTTGTGGATCGTTAATTAAACTTTTTTAATTAACAGCGCTAAACGAGTATTAATTAATAATTTCTAGGTGAGCTAAGCAGAGAAGAAGATGTGCTGGAATGGTTGATTGCAAACAAGTCAACTGGTGATGAGGAAGATGTCATAGAGGATGTTACGGCCAAGACTCTCAACACTCTTATTGGGAACGTGGACAATCTTGTAGTTCTCTTCTGTAAGTTGTTATTTAACCTCTTCATATTATTTTAGTAATCTACGTTTTTTATTTACATTTTTATTTGATATAGAAGCGTAAATGTTATCAAGATTAACGATTTCTATATTTTTGGTCGTATACTTCTTCTACGTGTGTTCTTAGACTAAGAATATATATTATCGCTCCATTTAATATCTAGAATATTTCAAGAGATTACAGCGTAATACACCAGACCAAGAGATGGAAAATTCAAAATAATACTAAATCGTTTGCTTAGTTTGATTGTTTGGTAGTATTGCAGAAAGCTCTTTTTATGAGCAGAAATCTTATATAATCTATATAAGAATATGAATAAATAAGGATACAAATACATTTCAGTTTTTATATATTTTGACAATATTTAAGAGTGAGCTAGTACAGTCATATTCCCTGGTTTTTAGTCCTCGGAAGTCAGACACGCATACGAGATTGATTTTTTATTTTAAATTTTCTTCACAGACGATCACGGCGATGAAGATTCTATGACTGTTTTGGGAGAGTTAGAAAAGATAGATGATGATTGTGATCGTCACGGTATACAATTCGTCAAAATCGATGACCAGAAGGCGGCGGAAGCTTTCGGCATTGATGACGTGCCGTCCATTGTCTACTTTGAAAAGCAGATCCCAAACGTTTATGATGGTAAGATTTAAACAACTGTTTCGGAAATTTTATTTGTTACTGAAATAAGTTTTTTTTTTGTTTTTACTTATTTAAGTTGGTTTTATAAATTGTTATACAAAATACTGATTTTTATTTTATTTACGCAAATTGTCAACAAATTGATGATAAACTATATGCATTGCCATTCTTTGGAAGTAAGGTGTTATACTTTCGTATCTTATAACATTACTGCCACACACCTTTCTAACTATAACACAACCATGCAAGCAAAGATGTAAATACAAGAACGTAAATGTAAAAGATTTACTCATGTAGATGATTTTTATTCATAGTTTCATTCTCTTTATTTATAGGAAATTTGGAAAATGAGGAAGAAATCTTAGAGTGGCTAGTAGAACAACTTGAAAAAGATGAAATTGAGGATGTTACCGATGAAATGCTTGACCGTCTCATCAAGGATGGAAAGACCGTTGCTGTGTTGTTTTGTAAGTAGTTTTTTACAGGTGCATGTTTCTAATTTTTTTTTTTGTAGTTTCGTATTGGTTTCTTCATTAGTAAAAAGTTTAGATACATATTTTGTATCCAAATATGATTGATCTTATAAAGAAATAAAATTTGTATCACATCTAACTTTTTTAGAGATCTAACTACATGGAAAAAGAAACTTCTTTTCAAATTTTGTGGTTTCAATAACCAGTTTTTGCTCTATTATAATATTTTAATCAGTAGTAGAATTGCAAGTTCGCATTCTTTTTAATGATATTAAGATATATATGTAATATTTGATAATCTTGCATTAAAAATATTTCTTTTCACGTTTGATGTTCATTCAATATGTTTTCATTTCCGCAGATGACAACAATGATAGAAAATCTCAGAAAGTATTAGCTGAACTGGAAAATATTGACGATGAATGTGATCAACTTGGTATTGCGTTTGTAAAAATTGATAATAACGAAGAAGCAAAAGAATATGGTATAGAAAAAGTTCCAACATTATTATACTTTGAAAAAGGTATTCCTACGTACTATGAAGGTAACCTGGAAGATGAAGAAAAAGTTCTTGAATGGCTTCGATACCAGTCTGAGAGTGACGAAATTGAAGACATTACAGATGAAATGCTCGATTTGATTATCGAAAAAATGCCGTATGTCGCTGTGCTGTTCTGTAAGTATTTTTCGCATTATACGCGGTCTCATTAAAGTATTATAATTTTGAAACATTGCCAAATTTTAAAATTACTTCACGATCTTAATATTATTACGTTGATAATTTATGGTCGTATTTTTAGTCTATACTATTCAGCTCAGAACTGACATATAAATGAAATACAGTCTTTCAAATTAATTTCAGACGACAAAGACCAAAAAAAGAGTCAGAAAATATTATCAGAGTTAGAAAATATTGACGATGAATGTGATCAAAATGACATTGCCTTTGTGAAGATTGATGATGATTCTGAAGCCAAAGAATATGGAATTGAAACTATTCCAACGATGGTATTCTTTGAAAAGGGCATTCCTCATATCTACGAAGGTGATTTGATGAAGGAGGATGAACTGTTGGGATGGTTGCTTCATCAAAAACGTCATAGTGAAATACCTGAAGTAACAGATGAAATGATGGATAAACTAATTGATTCAACACCATACTTGGCTGTAATATTTTGTAAGTACGAATTAGTACTAAGCATTGCGTTTTTGTTAGATCTATATATTTTTAAATCTTGCTCTCAATTTTAGCATTTAGATATTCTAAAAATAAAGGAGAAAAGCAATTAGTTATATATAATATATTAAAATCATTAAAATTGTCCTTAATGCATTATTTGGGGTCACATAGTTTTATCTGTAGATTACTAAAGATTATAAATAGATTACTCTGTGTCAAAGAGTTTTTTTTATACCACTGAAGTAGCAATCAAGCATACGGCCCATCTGATGGTAAGTGGTATTCGTCCTACGAACGCCTGCAATACCAGGAGTATTACGCGCGCGTTGCCGACCCTGAAGAAACCTCTTTACCCCCTTTTGAAGAGCCCTATGCTATAGTCTCTTGGGAAAACCTCGGCAGGGAGCTCATTCCATAACCTCAGTGTTCGTGGGAGAAAACATCTCTGACCACGTTGTACACGAGGATTTAGGCTGTAGGATATGAGGGTGAACTCCCCGTCGATGGCCAGCCGTATGATGGTAGAAAGGGGCCGTGGGCATCATATTGGACAATTCCTCTGAACACAATCCGTTATTATTATTATATTTATATTCCAAAGTGATAATATGTTTGTTTACATTTTTCAGATGACAAAGATGATAAACAAGATATTAGAATCCTTAATGAACTGGAAAACATTGATGACGAATTAGAGAAAGAAGGTATTGTAATAGTAAGAATGGATAACGAGGCAGAAGCAAAAGAATTTGGTATTGATCATCTACCCACCCTAGTGTATTTCGAAGAAAATATTCCAGCAATTTATGAAGGAGATCTAATGAATGAAGACGAAGTACTAGAATGGCTAATAGAACAAAAGAACAGTGCCACTATTGAGGAAGTTACAGATGAAATCTTAAGTGATCTTATTGAAGAACATGAATATGTAGTAGTTTATTTCAGTAAGTAGCAATGTTATATTGTTCAAAAACGTATTTGTTATAGACAGATGTTAGTAATTGTTACATTACATACTGATTCTTGTTTCTAGGTGGCAAATGTGAAGAGGGTGAAGAATGTGATAATATTTTAGAGGAACTAGAAAATATAGATGACGAACTTGATGAGACTGGTATTATCTTTGTCACTACTGAAGACATATCTCTAGCTAAAAAATATGGAATTAAGACCTTCCCTTCCCTCGTATTCTTCAGAAATAAAGATCCACTAATATATAAAGGTAAAAAGAATAAAAATAATAGTAATTTAGCGTCAAATTCTACTATGACCGATCCATTATCACGACAGGACAGTTCTTTGAAACAAACCTGATATCGTGATGCTGAATCGAGCACTTTCGTAGGTTTTTTTGGTGGATGTTACCATACCGCATGACAAGAACCTCGTGAAAGCTGAAACCGAAAGAAAAAAGAAATATCTCGACTTGGCTCCACGAGGTGACCAAAATGTGGAGAGTGACGTCCACCGAAATAATTCTAATCGTTTTGTCGGTGAACGGTCTTATCCTAACCAGCCTGGAACAACACCTCAGATGGTTGGGATTCCAAGGCGGCTCACTCCCAGTAGTGATGCAGAAAGCGGTGTTCTTAGATACTGCTCGTATAGTACACCGGTTTCTCTCCCTGGAGCTTTAAACTCTGTCCGACTGAGCTACGGGAGATATAAATTTTGTAAAAATAATAATTAATTTCTTTATATAAAGACAATTACATTACAGGGTTTGATATCTCCTGTTAAGCAAATTTTGCTTGTGTAAAACGAATACTTATATTTAAAATATATTTATATAAATATTTGTATACTTGGTTTATTATTTGATAAATAATTAGTAACAACTTAACTATATTATCTTTGAGTTAATTCGTATTTTTTTTTGTCTCATGTATTAGATTTATATCTTAATTCAACTTTTTTATAATAATATAATAATAAATAAAAAAAAATGCTATTGCTACAGTAAAAGTACATGTTTTCTTATGCGACTTAGAATGGCAAACAAGCTGACAGCCAACCCGATGGGAAGTGGTAACCGACGCCTATAGATGAGCAGTACATGGACATAACAGAATATACTGTTTCGCCCATGATACCCCTCATGTGTTGGCATTCCTGTATTTTTGTTGTTATTATTATTGTATAAAATATATCAATTATTTTCATTAAAGTGAACAAAACACTTGACATGCCTACATTTTGTTGAGCTTATATAAACTATATTCGTTATATGTTTGAACTTTGGAGTTTATAATTTATTAAATAATACATAAATGATGTTTGTTTGGTATTAGTAGTAAGGATTACAATTATTATCGATTATTGCAAATGTAAAACTTATTGGTTAATATAACTTCAGGCGATATTGAAGATGAAGACGAAGTCCTGTCCTGGTTGACAGATGAAGATACTCTGGAAATTCCTGGAAAAATTGAAGAAGTCAATTCAAAAATGTTAGAAAAAATTTTAGAAGAGAACGATCATATTGTTGTCTTCTTCTGTAAGTATTAAGATATTATTGTACAATTTTGTACAATACACATTTTCCAATAAGCTTATATTACTTTTATATATTAATATAATTTTTATTTTAGATAAGGAAGGCGATAAAAAGTCCCAAAAAATTTTGAGCGAATTAGAAAATATTGATGATGAATGTGAGGAGAAAGATATTGATTTCGTGAAGACATCCGATGAAGGAGTTGATAAAGAATATGATCTGCCAGACTTACCAGCTTTAGCCTTTTATAGACACAAGTTTAGAACAATTTACGATGGTGATCTAATGCACGAGGAGGCTATTCTAAAGTGGGTTTTAGATCTTCACGATTCTCAACCGGATGTCATAGAAAGTGTTGATAGAAAAACATTAAAAGATCTCATTGATGATGTAGAACACTTGGCTGTATTTTTCTGTAAGTAAGAAAGTATTCAAATGTAATAACACAAGTCAATATTGGAGTTGCTACTATGATTTTATATTTTCATTTGTAATATATAATCAATGTAAAGTATCCAATGCAATAGTGTTAAGAGTGATGTTTAAGGCCGGCAGTAAAGGTCCAGAGTTCGTTCCACCTATTATTTCATCCGGAGTTCCTCTTAAAAGATTTGAGAAGTTCAAATACTTAGGACATCTTCTAACTACCGACCTTAAAGGCGATGTAAACATATAACGAGAACAGAGAGCATTATCTGTTCTGTATGTTCTGTTCTGTATCTGCGAACATGCTTTCCCGCAGGTTTACGCGTTGTTCATAAGCGGCGAAAGTCACCTTGTTTCGAGCATTTTACACCTCATTTTTATTAAGTATTCATATTTCATTATACTTTGGGCAAGATATATTCAAAAATCATACAATACTTTAAGAGTACAATATAATAACGCGTTTCGGGTGTTGTTGGGGCTGCCTCGATTCTGCAGTGCATTGGGAATGTTTACGGTAATGTATATGGTTTGTTTCTTCACTATTATTCGTAAACAATCTGCGTCACTGCTCTGCAGAGTGCGGCCCAGCCCCAACTGCGTTTTGGCTAGGTTAGCAAAAAGGCTGAATTCTACATGGACTTATAGAATTATTATTATTATAAACTGTAATTTAATTATTGTGATAAAATATAAGCGACTTTACATTTTCACAGATAGTGAAGATTGCGATACCTGTGATGAAATCTTGGACGAATTAGAAACCATTGATGATGATACAGATAAACATGGCATTCAGTTTGTTAAATCGAAGGATTCTAAATTGGCGTCTGATATTGGGATTTTCAGTTTTCCAGCTTTGGTTTACTATGAAACTGGTGTGCCTATTATGTATGATGGTATGTAATTTTTTTTTGTATTTTTATTTCGTTTCCTTATTTTTACATGGTTTTTATACGTTTTTTCATAATATAATAACACTTTATCTATAATTACAATACAAGATATAATTTAATTGACTTAAAGATATAATTTTTTATACAATTAGAAATAACAAACACGTTAGCGATCCAATTGATGTAAAGTGGTAACTGTCATCTACACGACACATTTTATAAATTAATTATAAACCATTAATTGAAATTTTAAGTATTTAAATGTTTTTATCCTGTTATAGGTGACTTAAAGAATGAGAATAAGGTACTCCAGTGGCTTGTAGATCAAAAAAGTAAGAATCCACATCCATTTTTAATGTAAAATCTCTATACTGGTTATAGGAAATATTAAATAGTAATTACATTGATTCTTGATTTATTATGTGCATGACATCATTCTTAAAATTTCTATATTTTTTAATGAAACTAGTTTATGCCTTAAATGCTGGATGTTTGAGCTATGTCATTTTGCATGACAGTTACTAATGCCTGCAGGTGAAGATAAACGTCGAAAATCTTCTAAAGCTAACGCTAAATCAAAGGCCAGTGCAGATGGTGATAGAAAAACCTCAGGGTCAAGAATTAAAAGCAGTACAATCAATGAAAAAGTCCTTCCCATAAAAAATGTAGGAGTCTTTAAAACTGAGATTCCTGTTAGAAAGGCTACTAACAAAATAATTTCCGTCAACAAGGCTAAATTGAAAAAAGATGACAATGATGATGAGGACGATGATGATGAGGACGATGATGAGGACGACGATGACGATGACGACGATGAGGATAATGATGGTGATGAAGATGATGAGGATGATGACGAAGATGAGGATGATGAAGATGATGATGACGTTGACGACGATGACGAAGGTGAGAATGACAATGACGATGAAGATATAAAAAATAAAATACAATCAAAAATTAAAAGTATTTTAAAATTCAGAAATTCAAATGAAAAAGCAACATGGAAATCTATTGGAAATTTAAAAATTCGTTATCCTGGTAACAAATCTGGTAAACAATTGGTAGACAAATATGACGATGACAGTGACGATAATGACGACAATGATAGTGATGATGACAATGATGACGACGACGACGATGATGACGATGACGACGACGACGACGGCGACGATGATGATGACGAGGACGATGACGACGACGAGGATGACGATGACGACGAAGATGAGGATGACGATGAAGAGGATGACGATGATGATGAGGATGAAGACGACGATGACGATGAAGATGAGGATGACGATGATGAAGATGATAGGGAAGTTGTCAAGAAAAACCGGCTTTTCAATGTAGGTAGAAAAGTTCGTCGTCAGACCACTAAGGACGCAGATGACGATGAAGATGAAGGTTTTTTTGATAGAATAAAGCGAATGTTTACAGGTAATGAGTAGTATAGAGCGTACCCAGAGGTGACCCTGCACGGAGGCACGGATATCCCAACCATCACACATCTGCATGGTCGAATGGGTCCTATCACTATAGCTGTCGCCTGCAGTCATTCGCGAACGCTTTCCAGTTCAAATGTTTTCAGTTCTTATACTTACTAACAATTCATTACAATTAATAGCGCGCATAACAAACAAGCGCCTATGATATAAATATGCACAGTATTAACTCGCAGTTAACTAAATATTGTGATTATTTTTTATACGGGTATAAACAACAGGTTTTTACTGACTGCAGGCGATCGCTGTTTCTACATTGGATTGGGGGCGAAACCAGCTGTCCCAAAAATGACTTATGAACCCTACCAGTGCTGTCCCACTAAAGTCCAAAGTCCAACCAAAGTAGCCAAAGCCACGCCGACAAAGGTGATATCCAAGAAACTTGATAAGGACAAATCGCGAGCGGAACCAGAGAAGCCAGCCAAGGGCAAAAACAAAGCCCTCGCGTCCAAGCCCGAAAAAGCCTCCAAAGGAAAAAAAGGTTTACTCGACTCTGAAAATATTTGGTGGTGGTAAATTACAAAATTGTTATTCTGAAAATTCATTTACAGTAATGTCTAAATAGATGTTAGTGTAAATCAGGTGACGTGCACGGAAGGCATCAAGTGGACACGAATGTTATCATTGTCAGTTGTTGTCAATCCTTAACTACTTTGGAATTGTACCGTAGTCTAATATAATTAGTCTGATCTAACTATGCATCTATCTGTCATCGCATATTAACATTGCTAGCTTTAACCTCGTGTCCCTTGATTCCTGCTAGCACTTAACAGGGTTGTATGTCGTAACAAATTACACCTGTACTGTATTCGCAGATTTGTATAATAAATACATTTTACGTAATTCGGTCTCAGTGGAATATCAAAATATGTATAGAGACTGAAAATGTGAATACAGTTCAAACAAATTCATACTCTAGAAATATTTTGTGGTTTATGGATTAAATTTAAGCACGGAAAAAAAAGCTAAATATTGGGATATTTAGAGACATTGTAAGCAGATGTACAAATCGTTTTTTTCTTTGTTAATTGATTCCAATATTTAGGAAAGATAGATGAATTAAAATAACAACACAAAGGCATTTTAAATGTATTTTGCCGTGCCATCTTGAAAGACTTATCGTTGTAAGGATTTCATGTTCATATAGTTTTCTAGTCTTCATGAAATCTCATTATATTTTGATACACTGGATAAACAATTATTTTTCCTAGTATTTTAAATTATAGTATTTATGTAATATTAGTAATTATATGATATATTTTATTGTATTATGATATGTATTTTGATCTTAATTTTCATAAATGCAATGCCACGATGTGCAATGCCATATATTTAAAAATTGTAGTATTCACTTTTATTTATTCACAAATTCATTAAAGAACGAGATATTAGACCAACTCTAATGAAATATTATTTTTGCTGCCATTTGAATAGTTATTATTTAAGGATTTGTTATACATATTTATATTGAATTGATACTAAATAAATTCTAATACTTAATTCGTTAGAATTAATTTAGCAATTATCATCATTATATTCAATGTCAGCCAAAATATTGAAGGAATATGTTCTAATCGGCTAAATTTATTTCAAATTATAATAGTGCTGGCGTTGTGTGATACTATGTCGGTATGTAAGTTGTATTGTTTGGCCGAAAATTCGCATGGATGTTTATTTATATTGTTACGTTGAATTGTTGAGACGGCGCTGAATTAATTTTTGTTAAATAAATACATTTTCTATTAAATTTTAACTACTCATTTTACACACGAATGATGTCAGCATGGTAATGCCGTAGTTATATCCGCGCATGCCCAATTATTGGATTTATACTGGTGAGTTTATAAAATATGAAATGGATGTGGTTTCTTTATGATACATCTTAGAAGTTAGGATTTTCAGCATGCAATAACTGTTGAAATATTTTAGGAAACCTATTGGACGAATCAGAGGTATTAGATTGGATGGTCAAACAAAAAGAAGATGAGAGTATTGAAGAAATAAATAGAGATAAATTATTCAAATACATCGAAACAAAGGAATTTCTGGCTGTTGTTTTCTGTAAGTAGGGCACGATATGTTTAATATAAAATTAGACATTATTATGTCGGAATGTTCTTAATTTTAATGTCAATACAGATAAAGAAGAGGATCCTGCTAGTCCCCGAGTACTACGGCACGTTGAATTGATAGACGATGAAGCTGCTGAATATGGAATAAAGATCGTAAAATGTAGTGATCGTTTGATGGCAAAAAAATATGGTTTTCGCAACCCACCTGGCATTACTTACTTTAGAAAAGGCAAATATATCAATTATGATGGCGATATAGATGATGAAGAGGAAATTTTAGACTGGTTAACTAATCCAGAAAATATGGAACTCACAGATCATATTGAGAAAGTTAATAAGAAAATGTTTCAGAAAATAAGACAAACGTCGGACTACGTTGCAGTTTTCTTTTGTGAGTATTTTATACTTTAATGTTATTATAAAAGTACACTATTACCTATTGATTGTTATATATTATTGAATACAATACTTTATAATATTATTAAGTTTCTCCTCTCGTGATGTGTTTCTTTTTATGTCATAACATTGCATTATTTGTGGAGTTTAATGTAAATAAAATGCTGGCATAGAGTGGCTCAAATTATTATTTATTTAAAGCATACATAATGTAGATAACAGAATCATTAATTTTAAAGTTGTAATCAAGTTCCAAAAATATTATATTTTTATAATTCGATTGTATTGCACATATTCCATGTTTTAGACAGTAATGACTGCAAACAGTGTCCTAGAGTATTGGCCGAGATTGAACATATTGATGACGATGCCGATGGAGCTGGTATCAACTTCGTAAAGATCGATGACCGACAAATGGCCAAAGAGTATGGAGTATTTGCCCTTCCCGCTGTTTTGTTTTTCAAGATGGGATCCAAAGATCCCGTCATATATGCAGGTAATGTAAATTTATGGTAATTGGAGGAGGTTTTCAGGGTTAAATGTTAAACTTTTAAGGGTTTTAAGTGCCACGAAATTGATGTTTTCAGGTGATTTGTATGACGAACAACAATTACTAAGTTGGCTACTTACACAAAAAAATCCAGCTGGTGATGTCATAGAAGCACTTGAAGGACAAGATTTGATCGACTTAATTGAGGAATCCAATTCTCTTGCCGTTTATTTTTGTAAGTTGTTACAAAATAATTGACCCTATATCATATATACCTACAATTCTTATAATAAGACTTCTGTGGTCTGCGAGTATTATAAATCACGACTTGTTAAATTAAATAAGAGTCTATTGTTTAGCAATATTATATTAGTAATAGTAATATACTGTGGTAAATATTGTTGATGTTAATTCTAAAGTTAATTAATTAAAATTGAAATCATTCGATATTCAGTTAACCTAAGAAAACCAGGTATTGAATTAACAGCAGTAATATGAAATTATTTACTCTTAACTTATTTGTATCAAACAATCATAACTTTAGAAAAAACGACCCGTTTCACAATAAAACCCGTTCTCATAATGACATGAAATTTAATATGTTACACTTAGTATTTCTTCACTTTTTGTGATTTTACAAGTTTTTTATTTATGACTATTTAAACTACTGCTATTAATACAAATAAACGATGCCCAATATACAACTTCAATAACAGTTTCATTAAATTATTATGCTTCTTAATAGGGAATAAAACGTTGTGCGAAATTTGTAATTCAAAGGCATTGAGAAAATCATTGAAAAAGAAAGAGAGAGACCATGACGACGAAGATGGACAAGATCAAGAGGGTACTCATATCCCTTTAGGCCAATAATTGGCAGTTATTTAGCGTTTTCAATCCTTTTCCAGCGATTGTTATAATTATCTTTTGCATGCGGCACGACTTCCTTAGTTTGGACCTATATTCTATCTTCTCCTTTTTTATATATAGTTTCATCATTTCTTTTTGTAGTCCTTTATCTATTTTAGTAAGTATTTGTGATTGAACCTGTTTATGCCAATTTATATCTAAGTATGTATTATAGATTGGAATTGGTTTGTCACAGCACATTTATATAGATATATTAGACCCACCATATAGTCAGTAGATAATGTAACCATTTAGAATTTCTGAGAAAATGTCATATCAGCATAATTGGTAATAGTTTTGGGAATTACAGATGGATCTGAATGTGAGCAATGTGCTGGGATTTTAGAAGAATTGGAAAATATTGATGATGATTGTGATAGGCATGGGATAAAATTTGTCAAAACACAAGATTACTCTATTGCTGAATCATACGGAGTAACGGATTTCCCAGTACTTGTTTATTTTGAACAAAATATACCAAATGTATATGAAGGATCGCTAGCAGAAGAAGAAGAAGTTTTACAATGGCTGATAACTCAAAAAACTGAAGATCGCATTGAACTCATAACTAGAGTTATGTTAGAAAAAATGGTAGAGGAAACTCAGTATTTGGCAGTATACTTTTGTAAGTATAGTTACACAAATAACAATAGAGTATACTTACTTATTTACTTGGTGTATTCTAATAAAAATATAAATGTTACAGATAAACTTAATTGTCATATTTGCGATCATATATTGGAAGGATTGGAGGGTATTGATGATGAATGCGATGTTTATGGTATTCACATGGTAAAAATTCAAGATCCACAATTAGCAAAACGATATTCCATTAAAACTTTCCCAGCTATGGTCTATTTTAGGTAATATTATTTAGTAAGTTATTGCTGTTTATTATTTGTTTTTGTATTCTGTAATCTATCTAACAATAAATATCATTTCAGAAACGGCAATCCTCTTCTTTTCGAAGGCGATTTACAAAATGAAGAGTCAATACTAGAATGGCTTATTGACGATGATAATCGAGAACTGGCTGATGAAATTGAATCGGTTAATGAGAGGATGTTGGAAAGATTGCTGTATGAGTCGCACTTACTTGTCGTATTCTTCTGTATGTATTATTTAAAGCAACTTTTTAGAATGTAATTAATGTACTTTCTATATAAAATATCTATATAAAATTTATTGTTTTTTTCAGATGACGATGAGGACTGTCCAGAGTGTGAAGAGATTCTTGAATCATTAGAACAAATTGATGGAGAAGTTGATCAATATGGCATCGATTTTGTAAAAATAGCTAGTCCGGAAGCAGCAGCGAAATATAATGTAGTAAATATACCATCGCTTTTGTATTTTCGCAAACAAGTACCGATGTTGTATGATGGGGACTTACATCAAGTAGACAGAATATTACAATGGTTAACTTCTCAGGACGTTTTTGAAATTAAAAATGAAATTGAAGAAGTTAACAGGAAAATGTTAGATAAACTTCTGGAAGAGAATGAATTCTTAGCTGTTTATTTCTGTAAGTATGGATATTAGGTCATTATAACAAAAATTGTTTGTATTTTTATTTTAATTATGCAATTATGAATAAAAAATTTCTGTTTTAGATGAAAAATCAGTTGAGAGTCGAATAGTATTGGACAAATTAGAAAATATTGATAGTGAAACTGATAATTTGGATATTACATTTGTAAAAATGCAGGATCCGCGATACGCTAGGAAATGGGGGGTTACCAAATTACCTGCTATTGTATACTTTAGGAAAAGATTCCCAAGTATATACCGAGGTAATGCTTTTCTTGTAGTGGCATTTTATATAGCTACTAATGAGATCTAGACACTAATTGTATGTTTATTCATTACAGGTGACTTAATGTCCGAGGAAGAAGTATTGGAGTGGCTACGAAAGAACAGATTTAGACAACCTGAACTCAATATCTTTATGTATGCATTAATAGCGCTTTCAATAGCGTTTGTAATGTATACAGCATTCTTGCTTCAGTGTTTCAAACCGTCACCACCTGCGCCAACGCCACATCCAAAGCAAGCGTGAGACGATTACAGACATTCAAAGAGTCTTTACTGTAATTTAAACTTTATTATTTTGATTCAATAGAGCCTTGGGAGGCTTTGATTAAGAATTTGACTTCGACGTTATTATCAGTGAATCCATGTTGATCTAGGTATACATTGATCAATTAGTTCATAGCGAATCTTTGATTTTATCGATAGATCAAAACTTAGTCAATTACATGTTCTTGGGATCAACTTTACTTTGATAGAGATTTTAGAATACAGCCCTAAAATAAGACGAGAATGCTTATAAATAATTTGTGAAGAGCAGACCGTTGAATGTACTTTTTACTTTGTTTTATTTAGATATTATAATAATGTGCCCCCTTTTGTTATAAAAACAAATATTTCTCTGAAATTATAACATAACTGACAACTAATGTTACTTTTTATTAATGGCATTTTAAACATACTGTTTACTATATTTAAGACTGTACTATCTTCTCGATAGAAATATCTATATAGATCTTTAGTGTGGAGTGTACAGTTTTCCAGTATATTTATAACATAAAACAATACTGTTTGGTAATCTGCACCATTGCTGCCTTCTTTTAGTATTAAATGACATATATATGTTATTGTCTGTTAGGATTCGTTGAGCCTTTGTTAAGTTTGTGTTTGGGTTTTTGGAGCTCTTGAACAAAGTTGCCCAAGCAAAATTTTCATATTATTTATTAAGACACAATAAATTCAAATTTTTCTAAGTTTAATCAATAATGCTGCAACTATTACTGTGCATAATAATTGTTTCAAATAGATTATCTATACTCCGTACGTTTATTAATAGTGGTTTTGTTCTGGAGCTCTGTTTTTGAGTGGTTGACCAAAGGGCGGGATCTGGACTGACGCCCGCGTGTTCCTACGGTACTTTGCTGGTGTCTTTATCCAAGTGTTAATATACTCTGTAAACAGCTATGACTGCATTAAGTACGTACAAACAGATGTATGTTAACTGCGTCCAATAACGCTTAGTTGATATAGCTATTCTTATGGCTTCATTGTCACTAGACTTTTTTTTTATTTTAATCTCCATTCAGTTCGGAAAGAAACTAATGTCTATATTAAATAAAAAAATATTCTGCTCGTGATTTCTGTTACTACGTAGGTATTCATGCAAGCATGTTTTGACTAAAGAGATTAATTAATGTTTGGTACATTTGTTTTTTAGCAGAAAATTTATTCTTGGCCTTTCGGAAGTATTTACAAAATTATTAAGCATGGCTTTTCAACTTCAAAACTAGAAGATTGTTCCATATTTTTTGTGTCTACTAAGCGATATCTTCGCCAACTATGGACTGATTTGCATAATTCTTTTTTGGCAATCGTTAGTGGAGTTTTTTTTTTTTTAGTAAAGATCGTAGTTGTTTATAGCCTCTCGATTTATGATACCACATCATTATTTGTTATTTCGTCTCCTTATTCGAAATTTGAATACCCCGCTCTAAAAAAAAGTACCTACCTATTTTAATAATAGTTTCAGACTATAAATAGATGCCCTTTATTATTATAAAGGGCATTCCCTTATGTATTCCTTTACATATGTAGGTTTTTAATCTTCGATTTTTGTTCCACACAGGTTGTTGCCTCTTCACCTTGCTTCGTAATATGCTGTTTCTTGTCTATGTATGTTACGTGATTTTATCTTTCTTTGAAACAATAAAGTGTTTTCATTCCTCATTCATTACTTTATTAATATAAACTAAGTTTGCGTTCTCAGTACCGTAGTAACATGCCTGATATACTATGTATCATTCCCGCTCGCAAATAATGTATATTATTGTGTATAATTATAATGATACCTTCATAATGGAACGGTAAGGAAAATATGAAGCAGAAATAAGTAAATGCTCAAATGAGTTGCAAATGCGCTGAGACACGCGCGCATTCGCCGTCATTACTCTTGTATATAAAATGTAAATATTAAAAAATAAAAATAGTAAAATTCTGTATGTCGTGTTATTTTTGTTTACACCCAACGCTTTCTTTTTTTTATTTATTGATGTATTACCTTATATCTTCGTCATTTGTAAATCGATTTGGAAAATTCTCTTTTTATCTGAAAGGATATATTTACAGCTTAATTCTATAGAAATTTTATCAAAATCGGTTCAGTAGTTTAGTTTTCAATTCAAAATAACTGGTTTTGCTACCATTAAAAGTATTTTTTTGTAGAATACAACCTTTAATATAGTACTCGGGGGGAAAGGGACTGTCAGTAATGGGGAGGTTAGTTCCATTGCTATCAATATACCATATCGAGTCGACTTTCACGCAGTTCCCTCTGGAAACTATCGTGACCAATTTATCATTGAATTCGTCATAATGGGCAAACTGAATTGCCTTTTCATCCTAAATCTATTTCACTGGTACCCCGCCAGTTAGTATACCGATAGCCAGACGGGGTTACCATGCTATTTTCATATAAAAAAAAAATATAGTACTCGTATTATATTGTATTGTAAAAATTGTATTATCTATACTTTGGATACTAAATCTTTTTAATGCGTTAAAAAGATTTATAGATATATATATATATATATATATATATATATATATATATATATATATATATATATAAATAATATAATGTACTCGTTTATGAAAATGTATAAAATTTTATTTTTAATGAAAGAAGACGGAATGGCAATTTTGTCCGCACTATCGATATACGCTGGCGGGGCACCAATGATACACGTAGATGATAGGTGAATATGCACAAAATAAGCGAAGTCCACATCCACCCTGGCTTTCATCCCTCAATAGTATTGGCATATTTAAGATTATTTCAGTGGAGTCTCTTTAAAACAGGTGTAGGTATATGTGACCTTACTATAAGACATGTCGGCGTATTGCTGGACTTGAATTTTGGAGTGGGCATTAGGCAATTATGGAGTGGGCACAGATATATATAATTTTGGGGTGGGCTTTAAACAATTATGAAGTGGGCACAAATGTATATCTATTTGGACTGGAGATAGGAAATAGACATTAAAAACACAATTAAAAATATTTATTTATATGTATAAGGGCATACAGAAAAAAATGTATTTGAAAATTTCAAACTATGGCTTATATCTACAGGAACTAGCTAAGTAAATAATACCTATCACTCTTATTCGATATTCTACTATTCCGTGACTTAATTACTATTATATTTTATCTAAGTCCTAGACGAAACTTGAACTTAATATACGACTAAATGTTTACGATTTGGATAATTTTTTGGATAAATTCACTTTTTTTTAAAAAAAAGAAACAAATTAAATTCTAAAAAAGTAATTTTTAAATTTATTCTATCAATAAATTTCAACTAAATTAATTTTAAATTTTTGCATAGGTTCATACCATATTAACTATCAACTATATTACTAATTATCAGTAAAGTAATGACTCAAAATGTCTACCTACTTTCATTCTAACTACTAACAACCTAAACAGTCTCTGTAATTTGGCATTCAGAACAACAAATCTAATAAAACAAAAACTATAGAACTCACGCGTCCATAGTCCACAATCTTGGTCTACATGGATTTAGTGTTCTGGATATGTTTTAATACGCCAATGCTGAGCAAAAAGAAGGTTTTATTAATAAAATATAATACTACTAGTATATTATGGTATTATTATTACTTGTAATAATACGTATTAAAGAAAAAAATAAAAGAATACAAGGACTTGACAAGCACTTGTAATTTGACCCACGCTTTTGCACCAAAGACCAAAAAAAATTATAATAAATACTAAAGTAGGTATATTAATTAGAGGAACTTAATAACTATGGTACTATATTCATCAGTACTTAGTAGTACTTATATATGACTGCACAGGATTCTGGTACACTTCTTTATATTATAATTACGTTGTTTATCTCTGATATTAGATATATAATATGTTAAGGTTTAGTTACATTCATATTTTGTATTTTCATATTTAAAGAAATACTTGAAAATCTGCATATGTATAAATAGTATGTTTCATCTTTATATAGAGCTATGTTATTTTTTTTATACCACTGAGGTGGCAAACAAACATACGGCCCACCTGATGGTAAGCGGTTATCGTAGCTTATGAACGCCTGCAATACCAGAGGCATTACGCGCGCGTTGCCGACCCTGAAGAAACCTCTTTACCCCCCTTTTGAAGAACCCCATGCTGTAGTCTCTTGGGAAAACCTCGGCATGAGCTCATTATTCTTAGAAAATGTTACGCTAAAATGAATCATGGCGTCATATTCGTGTAGTAGTTATTATAAAAAAATATAGTTACAGCCACACGTAGTCCTTATGCGATAATTAATTCAACATTTTCATGGTTCTTCAAGTATTTATGTTTTTGTTTATGGAACAGCTGAACTAGTCTTTCGGTAAATTCGGCGTGTACCGCGTTCACTTCCTCTTCAGTGGGTTCGAAGTTCTTTTTCACTGACATAGGTGCACCCACTGAAATAGATTATTAAATATTTAGAATGCAGCTAAAGGTCTTGTAAAGGAAGGTTTTGCCAGTAGTTGCCACATTTGATAGATGAGTTGGCAATCGTAGTCAGCCTTTGGTGATGTGTTAAAAGGGACGCTGCTGCCGATCTCTCTATCATTAACTTCCTTTAGTCGTCTCTTACAACACCCGCGGGAAAGGATGGGGGGGTGACATTTTATTTTAGGTCCATACGACAAGTAAAAGAAGGCGGAAAATGGGTTAAGACTATGATTTTATAGATTACATAAGCACAATGTTTCGGAATGGAATTCCGCATAAGTTGCACCATCAGCATCACATTATATTCTGTGGTGTCAATTGTGTCGTAAATGTCTTTGTATGGACGGACGCCATTTTCCATCGGGTGAGCCGCCGGTTTGTTGATTTTTTTTTGATGGGTGAAAATGGTATGGTTACCCCGCCTGCGTTAACGGGATACGCTGGCGGAGCACCAGTGAAGGGTGATAGATGAGAATGAAAACAGGCCAGTTAGTCCATCATGATGAATTCATCAGGAATTAACCATGATAGTTTTCAGCCGCGAAGGTCGACCTGGTTGGGTATATTGCTAGCAATGGGATTCTTTATTACGGTTTGTTGATTAAACATGAAATGTGTCATATTTCACAAAATAAAGCCTTAAGCGAATCATGAAGGTTCTTTACGCTTAAACATGTAATAATAAAAGATTCGTGTCTTACAAAAAAAAAACTGCAATTGTAATAAAATCAATTACTTTAATTTAAAAACTAAATTACTGAACCGATTTTGATAAAATTTCTATATAATAATAATTAGTTTAGATTAATAATTTCTATATGATAAATTTCTAATCTATTATCCTTTGTAGACAAAAAACGATAATGACACCCACAGGAAAGAAAAGGGTGGCGTATTCTACGCCGGGACCTACACGGCTTGAAAATAAAATACCATTAACTAATACCAAAATATTAATTTTAACAGAAATTTATTCTTTATAATTTTACAGCAGTTTAGAAATACCTAAAAGAATACTAATATATTGTTTGAACTGAACAGAACTTTATTCTTTATAATTTTTTCACTCATTTAGAAATACCTAAGAGAATAATATACAAAGAGGAACATTCTTAAATGCAACAATAGCTTTTATTGAGCAAATTTTCCCAAGGAACAAGATTAGTTATAATATAACACAAGTACAAAATTTCAAAGTTACATATCTACTTCTACATACATACATATCTGTCACGCCTGTCTCCCATTAGGGTAGGCAGAAACAATGTAACGCCAAATGCTTCGATTCAAACAAACCTCTTTCGCTTCTTCCACATTCATCAATCTTTTCATACACGTTCGCCGGTTACGGGTACTTTTAATTTGGCCCTTCTTCAGCACGTCGCCTATTTGGTCGACATACGTCCGTCTAGGGCGGCCCCTACCGACATCTCCATTTATTCTTGCTCGATAAATCTCTTTCGTAATTCCTCTTTTATCCATCCTCTCCAATATCTACTTCTCTTTATATAATTTCACATAACAATAATGCGTATGTCTTTAAAGTTATTATGAAGTATTGAACTCACCAACTGTAGTGATTGGAGATCGCAGCGGTACTACCCCGAAGCTGTATTGGAGTATTCCTCTCCCGATTGGAACAATAGGAGAGATACCGGTGATCTGGCGGAACTTGTCCTGAAATTTCCTCAAGAACCCGTTCTCAGGGTTACTCATTGGCCTGAATACGTCCGGTTCGCCGAACGAAATGACCGGCACCAGTGGAGCTCTGGAATTATTTAAATAAATGCATAATTACTAAATTATAATGCATAATGGCCGTGTGGTCCTGGCATAGAATAGGCCACCCCTTCCTTTCCCATGGGTGTCGTGAGAGGCGACTAAGGGGGAACTAGGGATAGGCAGTAGTGTACTTTTGCAAATTATAACTGCGGTTGCCAATTTGGCGACTAGTTAAAGGCTGATATGATGATGATGAATGCGTATATATATATGCACATTTTGGATAGTTTGTTCTAGATATAACAGTATATTTTTTCCAAATAAATATAGGTTGAGAAAGATAAAAAAAAAAACAATCGCCTTAAAACGACTAAAACTAAACTGTCGTTTTATGACACATTCGACTCAATTTAAAAATAATAATGGTATACTTTTTGTCTATTCAATAATGACGTTTTTGCATAGTGGTAAGTAGGTAGGTAGGTAGGTGGCTTTGCATCATGTGTTTTTGATTACGATCCTCAGCTCAGATCATTATAAACGAAATTCTGGTCAGATTTAAATATTTAAATTTTTGCTCTTAAATGTTTATTGATAGTTTTGTACAACATAATATTCTAGCATTATGGACTAGAGATTTCTTTGAAAGTGTGTGTGAAAGGCATATATTATTAGATATGATATTCAATGTCAATAAGTTAATTTATTATCACTGCATTATCTTTGAAACATTATTATTCTGTTAGTTACTTAGTCAACAAGCAAGAGGGCATTACATAGTTTGTGTTAACAAAATAACAATTAAGAAAACAAGGCAAGACACTAGTTGTTTTTTTGCTCAATGTCATAAAATCTTTTTTTTTTAATATCTTATTGTTGTATAGTTTAATATTTATGAAACAAAAATATAATAGGTAGGTACATATGTTATAACATCGAGCAAAAAAGAAAAACATTATGCACACACACACACATATATATATATATATATATATATATATATATATATATATATATATATATATATAATATCTTTGAAATACCTTTGAATTTTTTTTTTTATGTAACTTAGAATGGCAAAAATGGCATACAAGCTGACGGCCCACCTGATGGAAAGTGGTAACCGTCACCTATAGACATGAACAGTACTATGTACATAAAAGAGTATACTATTTCGCCCATGATAACCACCATGCGTTGCCATTCCTGAAGACTCAGGCGTTATTCCTCTATACCCTGCAAATTCACTGCCATATCCCACCCTTCAAACCGAAACACAGACATGCAAACACAACTGCCTCACGGTAGAAACACGAATGGGACCGAGGTTCTTAAGCAAACCACTTTTGTACAAAGTCTACCTCTGGTACGATATCAATCTGACACAATATTGTAGTTAGTTCGTAGTCAATTGGCCACAATCAAACAACTATTTTGATATTCATTGTTTCACCTTCCACTGATGCCCCGCCACTAGATATGTATACCATCAGCATAGGTAAATGTACAATTTTATCCATAAAATAATATAAGTTTTGTAGTTAATAAAGGTTAATAAAAAATGGCACTTACCCAGATTGCATAGCAACTTTTATAAATCCTTTTCTTCTGCTGAGGATGATCTTATACTCCCCAGGATGAGCATCCAGAGCCTCCGCTGCACCGCCAACTATTAAAACCACGCAATTACCCTGATGCTTGTCCTTGTTCAACAAATAAAGAAGACTTTCTACCGAAGACGAGCAGGCACCCAAAGCCATAATTAGATCTCTAAAAAACGGTATCAAGAAATGTCCTCTAAGCGTAATGAGGTACGGAGTCAAGCCGGGATAAACATTGTAGATGTCCAAAGCGTTAGTGGCAAATGATCCTATAGCTCCTGCCGAGACAACCCCATGGGGGAAACATGCGAAGAGATAGTTTTTCGTAGGATCTAGGTCTGCGGTCTTGACCACGTTAATTGGGAAGTAGTCGCAGTAGTATGTCCACCATGCCCAATTCCTTATCCAATCGATTCTGAAAAATAAGAGGATATATTTTTATTTACAAGTTAATTTTTGTATTGTATCAGCCGTTAACTGCCGTTTGCTGAACATAGCCTCTCCAATAAGGGGGGTTTTGCCAGTAGTTGCCACGCAGGCTTTTAGTGATGTTTTAAGAGAGATGCTGCTATCCATCCCGTGGACACATTTGGTAGCAGACAATTAAAGGCTGATATAACGATGATGATGATGGTATACTTGACAGTACAAAAAAAAAAAACAACACCAAATTTTGTTGAAATTATCACAAACTCTAAATGAAATTAATAACATATTGAAATCTATAATCTAATCTTGATTAAATGTGGATGTCTTTTTTTTAATGGATGATAATGGAATGGTAACCCAGCCTACGATAACGGTTTAAGCTGACAAGGAACCAGTGAAGGGTGATAAGTGATGATGAAAGCAGGTCCGTTAGCCCATCGTGACGAATTCTACTAGAATTAACTAAGATAGTTTCTAGGGAAAACCGCGTGGAGATCGACCTAATGGAGTGTATTGCTAGTAATGGGGAAATTAAACTCTGTTACTAATAATTCCTTTTACCCCAATGTAGATGATTATAAGAATAAAGAATGATTTATAAAAACATGAATGGACTGTGTGAGAGTTGATTTGACTAGAATGAGAGTGAATGCGAACATGACTGCGAATAGTAAATGGAAGTAGAAAATATTACACCGAATACAAATAAATTGAAATTAAGGGCCAAAAGATGACGGTGATTTACTCCTATTGGACATAAGCAGACCGACTTATAGTCGGCTCAATTATTCATTTTATTACATTTTCCTTAAGTTCTATTGAAACAGGTCATTCAAGTATGTTACTTACCTCCGACCACCTTTGTTGCATATATCAATGTCGTTGATCATCCATATCAGGTAGAGGAATGCTACCCACCAGTAGCTGGAGTATACGATCAGATAGAAGAGGTAGATGCAGACAGCTTCACCGAATAATATTAAGCATATCCAAGCCGCAGCAGCCAGGGTCTGGAGACGGCGATGCAAGGGAGTAGTCCTTGGTGCCCATTGTATCCCGAGCGTGTCTGATACACGACTGAAAATTATAATATAGATAGAATATTATATTGGGGTTGTGATTTTAAATTTATGATTTTTGTGGCGTAATAATCAACATGCATATATAATAATCAGGTTGCGTAGATTCCGGGTTCGATTCTCGGTTGGGCCTATTTAGGAGACAAAATTTCCTAATCGGATAGGGTCTCAGTATTCTGGGTCGTTGTATTTTGGGCTTCCAAACGTTCTTTGCTTATTCTAGTTTGAGGACCAGGGATTTAATGAAATTGTTTAGCATTTATTTATTAGTAATTTAAATATGTGATTTACATATTTTTATTTAATAATACTAATTTCACGACAAAAACTACTGAACAGATTTAAATGAAATTTGGTACACGAATAGGTTATATTGTAATTTAACATGTAGAATACTTTCTATTTTCATGATCGAAGTTATGGCGTACAGAATCTATTTTAAATATAAAAATAAATTTGTTTCTTTATTACTTCATGGCATTTTAAAGGTTTGTTTATGAAATTCAGTATACACATAATATTGCAGGTCAATCAACACATTCCGGTTACGATGACGAAGACGGGGATAAAAGATAACAATAAAAAAAATAAGTAATAATCATACTAATTTCCTTTCAATCTTCGGACTAGGATATAAAGACAATTATTTTAATTCTGATATTGCTATAAAGTTTGTATTCATACAAATTCATTATTTATTTTTTATTAAACTTTTTGAAAAAAGAAAAAGTCGAGTTTCTTGCCTGTTCTTTTTGGTTGAAATTGCGTTCCGAACGCGCGGTAATGAAAAAAAAAAACTATTTAAAAATACCTAAATCTAAGTTTACTTAAATAAAAATATTTCTTTCTTTCAACAGAAAAAAAAAAACGAAAGTTTGAATAATTTATTTGCTTCAATAGAAAAACCAGTCAGGGATTTAATACAAAAGAAAATGCTTACTACTGCAATAAGAATTAATAATTCTGACGCTATAGTATCATAAAGATCAAGTGTAGTAGGTAAGTAGATATATATATAGATACAAGAAGGTACTATGTAAGTACATATAATGATCATAGAAATAGAAAATTATAAAGGACCTACTACACGTAACTTGTGTATCCGTTGATATATGTAGTTATATTAATATTACATATTATCAACTATCCATTAGACACTCGGAGTTTATTTATGATCAGCTATGATTTTATCTCGTAATTACTAATTAGATATTTTATGTATATTGTATATGTAATATTTACATTCGTTGTTATTTATTTAATAATTAGCGACTCGCTCTGGTTTTGCACGGTATTTTTTTTTATATTATAAAATAAAATAAAAAATTAATAAAACACATCACATGTTACTCGTTGATAATATAGATTTCTACACGTGAAAGAATTTTTTAAATCGGGTAACTATTTTAGAAATCCATTAAAAATAAAAAATAAAATATTCTTTCCTCTTCATACTATTAGTTTAGATAAAGATAACAACTAAAATATAACTAACAATAGGGCAGAATTAGAGGAGTGATTTTTCTAAACCAATCTCTAAATTTTAAATTTCAGTTTGATAACAGGGCTACGTTCAACAATGGACAGTTAATGGTTGATATGAATAATGAATAAACATAATATTAAACAAGTGTAAATTTAAACAGCAAATGCACAGTGAAATATTATAATATAATATTTTTAATTTGTGATATACCGATGTGAAATGAGATAAAAAAAATAGATGTTGTCTGTAATGGCTAGCATTATACATTCAACATTAGGTATTGATTCGCTTCTTGAGTGGAGCATTCGATTTTTAAATAGACTTTAAAAAGAAAAAGGTTCTCAATTTTGCTTTATTTTTTTGTGTACTTTCTCATAATTCCGTTTGTTCTGAATCGATTCTGAAAATTCTTTTTTATCTGAAAGGACATACTGATTGGTTCCACAGAAATTTTATCAAAATCGCTTCAATGGTTCAGTTTTTAGATAACTGATTTAATTATATGTAGTAAGTAAGTACAAAAATGAATACTTGTATCAAATATATTCTATTTATTTAGTAGGTATACGAGTATTTAAGTAAACAGTTTCAGAGCGCAGATAAAGTCATGGCAATAGCTAGTATAATTGTATGTAATGTAATAAATAATGGGTCACTAATCACTATTTGTCAATAACGTAGCAGAGTTAGTTTTAAATTATTTACGATAGGTTAAGTGCTTACCTAATTACGTTATCAATTAAGCAAATATGGAAAATGATAAAAGAAATAGGTAATCATTTCATTACGAAATGATGGAATTGGTTGCTATAACGAATCTTACATACATACATGCATGGTAGAGGATACCATCAGGCATTAAGTCCGCCTTTTAGACATATTTTAATGTATGTAAAAGAATAAATAAATAAATACATATCTGTTACGTCTGTCTCCCGTTAGAGTAGACAGAAACAATGGAACGCCAAATACTTTGATTCAAACAAGCTACTTTCATCAATCTTTTCATATACGCTCTCCGGTTACGGGTACTTTTAATTTGCCCTTTCTTCAGCATATCGCTTATTTGGTCGACCTTACTATTGATATAATATAATAAAATGGCAACTAGATGATATCTGTACATAGATATTTAAGAAAAATTGATGTGAAAGATATTTATAAGAGCAAAAGAAGTTATACTGCTCATGTCTATAGGCGACGGTTACCACTTTCCATCAGGTGGGCCGTCAGCTTGTTTGCCATTCTAAGTTGTATATATATATATATATATATATATATATATATATATATATATATATATATATATATATATAGTGTCGATCGTAAATAATGTATATATTACAACTAGATTATCTGTCTCAGGTATATAATTTTGGATAACGAGTAGGTACATTTTTGGATCTGACACAGGAAGAAAAACACCAATGTTATATTGTAAAAACGTTACTTTATCTATCCTCAGAAAAGGGAATGTTGGGATGCTGTGGGTGATCGGGTAAATGTATTTATTCTGTTACAATAATGCAATAATTCATATAAACGGCTGTTAGCTACCAAATGCTACTCAAAAACCGTTATCCAGTTTGCGATAACAAATTGACAGTTTAAAAATGTGTAATTGCTTATCTGTCTAAATTTACATGATTAGATGAAGTTGTTAGGTCAGTTAGAAGATAATTTTATAGCTTCAATTAAATGATATGACCGTGAGTTTGAATGCCGGTTCGTAGCTATATGTTCTTGTCTACACTTTTCTTATAAGACTTAGGTAAACATAATAATAAAAAAAAAACTTACTAAAAAATATTAGTTATGGGCCTATAAATGTCGTCCAACTCCATTCTAATCACGTTGCACCGATGCACAACTTACTCAGAGAGTGGTAAAAACACAACTAAAGTCAATTCTTTCTGTGCTACGCTTCATAGTTCTTGTGAATCATCGAATGTCATTTGTACTAACGATGATTAAATATTTAGCGATAGTTTAACGTGTTGGACTGTTTAATCTTAATTCTTTTGTTGTGTTTTTAAAATAATCAATGTATTGCAGCAGAGTAGCAGTGATGCGATATTTTATGCAAATTATAAGATGTTAAATATATGGTTATTATGTAGGTAGATGTTAAAAAAATAATGTCACTTGTTAGTGAAACAAGCGAATTGCATATGAAAAAAAAAAGATTTGAAAAGTAGAATAATATATAAGATCAACTATAAGATTCAACATTTATGGGTTTTCTTCAAATATAGTAAAATTCTATTGTTTGATTTAAAAAAATCATGCATTTTTTTCATTTTTAGTCCGTAGAATTTCCTCGTGTAGGGTCTTGAGTTCGTAAAAAAATTATGAAAGCGGTTATCATTACTATTTCAAAAATAAAGATAATGTATCTTTTGTGTAAAATATGTCTTACTAACTCTACACTAATATTATAAAGGGAAAAGATTTGTGTTTTTGTAATGAATAAATTTAATAAATTGAAATATCACTTAAGTACTGGCATAATTTAGTTACAATTTTATTAAAGTGTACGTGAACGAGGTTCCAGGTTCGATTCTCGGTCGATCAAATGAATCATTCTATGAGTGCAGTGACTAATTTCACCTAGATGCTGTTTACGTTTATAATTGTCAGGCGAGAGTCCACTAGGTAAGTATAGTTAGGTGCTCAGCCATTATGTTTGTTAGGTAGTGCAAAGTTCAGACACATACTACGTTCGTGTGTACTATACTCAGTTTCATCGTCAGAATGTCGTAGGTACTAATAAAATTAGGGAACTTAAAATCTATACCACTAATTTTTTTTTACAACACAGGGGTGAACGGGTATGTGGCTCACCTGATGGTAAGTGACTACCGCCGTCCATGATCACCCACAACACTAACGGTATTGCAGGTGTGTTGCCGGCTTTTAAACGTGAAGATAGACCTGACAAAGTATACTGTTAGCAATGTGACTGGTAGATCGCATTACTAACAATCCCTTCCTCCCTATATGTACTATATTGACCCATCCGGTTCTTTACTTCGTTCTACTAGTTTTGATGGGTGAAAATGGTGTGGTAACCCCGCCTGCGCTAACGGGATATATACCAGTGAAGGGTGATAGATGAGAATGAAAACAGGCCAGTTATCATGATGAATTCATCAGGAATTAACCATGATAGTTTCCAGAGAGAACCGCGAGGAGGTAGTTGAGTATATTGCTAGCAATAGGATTCTTGGTCTCCATTACTAACAATCCCTTTCCCCCTCGTTCTACTAGTAGGACCATAAAGGATCTGTACATTTGCGTTGCTGCTTCAAAAAAAAAAACAAATAAATCTTATTGTAATGCAACTACTCATAATTGCTATTATGACGTCAATGAACATTGTTATGGTATTAACAATTCGCAACTGAACTTTAAACTGTGACATTTATATAGAATGCAGTAAAGAACGTAAAAATTCGAAATGCATGTACGTAGTCAATCCCTAAATATTTTTAAGAATAGACTTAAAGAGCATCTTCTATCTTTGTCAATATATATATATTTACAACACAGGGGGCAAACGAGCATGCGGCTCACCTGATGGTAACTACCGCCTCCCATGATCACCCACAACACCAGTGTGTCGGTATGTATATATACATGTGTATGAATGTGTAAGTATATATTCGTGTCTATATGTATGTATGTGTATATGTACATATACGATTAAATATGATATAATTAGTTACGTATAAACTTAAGTTATATCCGCTGACATTGATGCTCCTTTTCACTTTGGGTTTTCTGGAAGACAACGTTTTTACATTTACTTACCTTTGTCATATTTTAATGTATTATCAGTCTGTACAAAATAGTATAAATAAATAGTGTTACACAGCGTTCACTAAGTTCCATACTAAGCGCTTGTACTATAGGTACTTATGTACTTTTTTTTTAATATAAAAAAAAAATATAATAAAAAAATGTAAATATTGTCATGTCGTTGACTCAAGAAAATTATTCTCTCGTAAAAATAGTGCAATTTGTGTAGATAATAAATATTTGTTGTAAAAATAATAAATAGTTTAAGTAAAATATTTAACAAAGACAACCCATGTTAGGTCAGGGCGCCCTTCCGTACCTAACGGGAATTTATTAGGTATAGATACAAATGTACGGAAGTTTTTAATGACTGTAAACAACGACAGACCGTCGTAAAGAAATCGTATTGTATTGTGAAATCTTTTTTGTACATACATTACTTTGGACAAAAAAAAAAGATTTAATATAATAATGGTAAACTTATCCCATAAGTATCAGACTTATGCCCACCAGAGGGAGACTTTGTACAAAAGTCGATTGCTTGGGCACCTCTGTCCCATTCGTGTTTCAACCGTGAAGCAGGTGTGTTTGCATGGCTGTGTTTCGGTTTGAAGGGTGGGATATGGCGTGAATTTACAGGGTACAAAGGAAGAACACCTGAGTCCTCAGGAATGGCAACGCATGGGGGGTATCATGGGCGAAACAGTATACTCTGTTATGTCCATGGTACTGCTCATGTCTATAGGCGACCGTTACCACTTTCCATCTCCGTCAGCTTGTTTGCCATTCTATATATATATGATTGACAAATTACGGACCACACTTGACGGTTGATTTTACATGAAGAAAATTATAATTCGCTTCAAATTACTCAGCGGGCTATGGAGAGGGCTTTGCTCGGAGCCTCTTTGCGTGATAGAATCCGAAACGAGGATATCCGCAAAAGAACCAAAATAAACAATATGGCCCAAAGGATAAGCAAGCTGAAGTGGCAATGGGCTGGTCACATAGCTCGAAGAACTGACAACCGATGGGGAAGAAAGATTCTTGAGTGGTGACCACGTAAGAGCAAACGGAGTGTAGGACGATCCACCATTAGATGGAGTGACGACCTGAAATGCATTGCAGGGAGTCAGTGGATGTAGGTGGCTCAGGACCGTTCTTTATCTATGGGGAAGCTTATGTCCAGCAGTGGGCGGATAATGGCTGAAATGATGATGATGACAATTGATAGGGACTCTATAGGAAGAAAGAAGAGAATTGGAAGAAAAGACACTAAATGAAGAATGCCAATACAACAGAAAGAGAGAAGAATTAATAACAAGATGTGAGAGTGGATATAAAAAGGGCAATAAAAGTCAACCAATCATAATAAGGATATAAATCCAGTAAATCATACTGTTTTTTATTATTTTCTGCCGTCGTCAACCATTGTTATAAGAATCTCATTAGCACACAATCCAGTTTATATAGTTCAGACTACGTTTTCAGTTTACTAGTAGTCTTTTTTAAATAAATTCGGAAACATTGTAAAATGTTTGTTTTTGAAAATTAACAGGTAATTTCCACATTGTCATACTTAGTTGTGAGTGCATTAATAGTGACTTCCAACATTACGAGAATTACTTAACAGATTCAAACCTAAGATGGCCTTAGATATTTCTAAATCAGGGTATTTAGGGTCATTAAACTCTCATTTTATAATAATATATTTTCCTATATAAATTAATATAATTAACATAATAAATGTTTAAAAAACTAAGTATCACTATCAATAATACGCCGAAAATTCTTGATCCTCTCTTCAGTTTCCTTTATGCTGTCTTTCAAGTCTTTGTGAATCTCACTATAAGCTTTTATTGACTGATTTGTCTCAGTAAATATATTTTGTAGAATCTGTAGGTGAAGTATTCTGAAATATAAGAAAAAAATACTATGAATAATTTGTGCATTTCAGTCAACATACAATATTTAGTTTGTTATTTTCAAAATATAAAGATAAATATTAGAAATTGATAGCTACTTTAAAAAACAGATGTTCAATTCAATCTTTTTTTTATATAATGGAATTAGAATTAATATGGAAACTAGCTGATGGCCCACCTGATGAATAGTGGTAACTGTTAAATATAAACTACCACAGACAACACAGTATATTGTGTTACCATGATACCTCTTCATGCATTTCCATTCCTGAGGACTACAGTGTTAAACTTCTCTACCCAAAGACATTTGATTGACATCAAAGCTATTACACACACATAAAACTAAAACTCAACCAATAGAACGCCATAAAGTGATTTGCACAGTAATATGTTTAAACAGACATATATGATATTTTTTAAGGATATAATTTGGTAAGGATTTGTTGTTTTTAGAAAGAATGGTACTTAATAGTAATAAATGTAGTATTATTAATACTATAATTATTATAACCTTTCCTCTCCCATGGGTGTCATAAGAGATGACTAAGGGAGATTATAGTGAATGGATGAGCAGCAGCATCCCTCTTAAAACATCACTAAAAACCAAACTGCAGTTGCCAACCTGCCTGCCAAGCGTGACAACTACTGGCAAAACCTATAGCTATGTTTAATAGTGGACAGTTAAGGGTTGATAGAACAATAACACATATAATAATTATTATTACAATATTACCATTATATATGTCATATAGCTAGTACTGTAATAGGAAGAGACTCATGCCAAGTATTTGGATGTTAGTGTTGGTAAAAATAATTTACTTACTTGGACTTTAAATCCAAAATCTTAGTTTTAAGTGTGAGCAATTCAGTTGAATGATCACTAAACTTAGTCACTTCATTCAACCTGTGATTGAGCCACTCCATCATCAATTCCACCTTCTCACTCTCTTGTTCTTGCAATGTGTTCAGTTTCTCATCTAAATGCTCTTGTAATTCTTTTATTTGATTTTTATTAGATTGTTTGCTAGAAATTTGATGCAGTTTTTCCAATTCAGATGTAAATGCTGGTATTTTTATCTGTATTTTGTGAATTATAGCCTGGTTGAGTTCAGCTTGTTCATCGAACGTTAGATCTGCAGTTGCTTGATGCATGCACCCTGGAAAGAAGATATAAACAATTGTGATTACTATGTTTAAATCTAATAATTTAATTCAAATTGGTAACCAATTATTTAATAAAATTTATTTGCTTAGTATAAATATATTTAATAGGGTACATTTATAAACATGTCTTTATATGCTTTCTTATTATTTGTTAAAAATTATTATTTATTAAACTTTTTTAAAAGTTTAATTTCCACTTAATCGAAAGTTATATATTACCTTGTCAGAGATGTAGTAGAACTATATTTTATTTTGATTTTCATTGAAGTAAAATCAAGGGGAACACATAATTATTAATTTATGTAAATAAATAATTTTATTAACATTATAACATCTTTGAAAAATAATTCGTTTGATTTTTGTCTAATTTTCATATAGATCTTAGTTTGAAAGTGTTAATTTAACTAAAACATACATAACATAGTTAATTACAATAAATATTGGTAGCAAAATACTAAAAGTACCCACTGACATAAGCTTGTTTAAGAGAAATTTAGGTAATGTCCATCGCAGAATTAGTTGGTGGCTTACCTTTTAGGATCTGAGCTATCTTTCATTTATAGTTAAAGACATGTCTAAGAGTACATATACGTCTAATTAAGTGCTAGGACCTTCTACAATGTTAAATACGCTAATGTTTACTGATAGCTACATTTAATCACTTTTAATGTGCTTTGCAGTTCGAAGACTGCTCACTTACCCAATAGCATAGATGTACTTTCATCGGCTGTGCTAAGTTTATGTAAACTGGAATAATGTGTTAAATCACAGTCTGCTATTATTCTATTTATTTTTCCTTTCAAATTACTAGATAGCTTTCCATTAGATTCACTGCACAATTCTTTGATAATTTCCAAAAGAATATTTTGTTGTGTTATTTTCGTTTCAATAGACAGTTCATCAGTACTCGTTATAGAATCCATCTTTAAAGAATTATTTATGCTATGCTTAAAGATACTAATGTATTATTTTATAGGATATCTAAACGTTGTTAATTATTCGAATAATATAAAAGTTAAAATTAATATTTACAAGTATAACAAAACAAAAGAAGCGGTTAATTCAACTTTCCATAACAAATAAAAAAAAAAATTATTCGGGTTGGGTTACCAACTGTTAAAAATATTAGAGTCGATTCTGATACTCCATTTCTCTAAACCAATCTCTAAAATTAAAATTTTAATTTGTTACTACAACGAAATATTTATTATAAGGACCAATATTAATATAAATTTCTAATAAATTTAAATTCAAGTTATAAATTTAGTTCAAATATTAGGTGCAAATTAAAACATTTGGTTAAAAAAATAAAGTTAAGGAAATGGGCCGTAGAATTGATTAAGAAAATCAAAGACTTTGGAATAAAAAACAAAACTAGTATGTTCAATTAACTCGTTTGTTTGTACTTATTATTTTGATGCTCGTTTACAAAAATGAATTGAGCCAAAACCGTTCTAATCTGTACATTCGGATAAGTATTCGAGTACTTAAATGCATATTTAAGTTCTTATTTAGACTTGAGGACTTTTTCATATGTACAATAACCTAATATTTCCTTTGCTTTATAAGGAAAATTTTATTAAAGTATTGGAATAGTAAAACTTATGATAAACGAATAAATAGTATTCAAAGTACTGTAGTAATCGCAACGTGTATTCGAACGAATACCATATAGACGATTTCTATATATCAATTACATGTTCGACTAACTAATCGAGTAGTTGGAGTCGTAACGTCACTAAATTATTTTAGGGGAGCTTGTATTTTTTTATGATTTTTGTGATTATTAAGCTAAATCTTAAGTTTTTTATTATACCTATTGATCAATTAAATAATATCTAAGTCACTAAAACATTGCATTATGTAAAATGTCTTCGACAGCGGCGGAAGGTTTGAAGAAAATGGAGACAGATGTTCCAGTAAGTGGTGGTCAAAATATGCAGCAAATAGAATCTCAGAAAGTGACAGAGAATGCCGATAAAAGCAAAATAAACAAATCAGCAGGAGAAGCTCAAGGAAATTGTTATTGGTAAGCTACAATATTCGATATTGGTTGATTGTGATTTGTGTCATTCAACTCTTAATTATTTTTATTATAATTTTAGCGGGAAGGACAGAAACCTTAATATAGCGGAATTGCTGTGTGCATCATGCAATCGCTGGTTTCACGAATCATGTATTGGTTACCAATTAGGTAAATTGGTACCTTTTATGACAAACTATCTCTTTATATGTAAAAATTGCTCACCTACTGGTTTGGAAACTTTCAAAAAGAATCAAGCACGTAAGTATTGGAACACTTTATATTTCAACTTTCATAAAACTTTTTTCAACTTTTATTCACAATCATCTGAAATAAGAAGACATATTTGATTGAAACAGATGAGAATTATGACAAATGCAAAAAGAAAATATTGCCTTGGTGTATATGGCCAGTTTTAAATGACTTGTTGCTTTTAAAGAGTTTTGTATAAAATTATAGACAATAATGATATAGTTTGTTTACTCTGAATTGTATACCTTGTTTTCAAGTATGGATTATAATGGAATAGTACATTACACTAATTGTATATTAGCCCCAGTGTGAGATAGACAGTGTGGGTTTATTTCTTGTTTACTTAAAAAAATTTTGTCAGTCACAATAATTATTAAAATAATAAATATATTAAGTAACTATATAATACTAATTACAATTACTATATAAATAGATATGAAAATCAGCACTGTATAGGTACATCTTACTGGAAGTGTGCAATATAGCAACAGCTGAGGCGACTCCTGTTACCAGTAAAATTAATTATTTTTTTCTTTTATAATTTTTTTTTAATTATTATTGGTGGTAATAAAGACTGTATATATAGAGAAAATATGTACCTATTGTGAAACAATTTTAAGGATTGGATATTATTGTAACAAACTATTTCTAATGTAAAAAGAAATTGTCCTCTCTCTCACTTGCTGTGCCTAAAAGGGTTCATAATTAAACTTGAAGTATTATCTACCAACCACATTATGGAATGCAATAAGAAATAAATAAATTATTTACATGTTTTAATGATATCATGTTTATGATATTAAATATATAATTTTTATGACATTGTTGCATTATTTTTATTTCTATGATTTAATTGTTTTTGTAGCATTCCCACAAATGTGCCTCACTGCCATAGCAAATCTAAAGCAGGAGAGTGTAAAGGATGGCAGCAACAGGGTACTCTTCAGTAAAGATAGGGAGATCATACCATATATTGATCAATATTGGGAAGCTATGACCACCATGCCACGAAGGTAAGTGAAAAAAGGATATTGTAAGCCCTGATTTATTTTTCTAAATATGTACCAAATTATTTTTTTATTTCTTCAGATACTAACTACATCTTATGGTTTTAATTTTGTAAATTAGGATAAAATTTATCCTGTGTATAATACTGAACAAGCTACTACTGAATCAATTTTGATAAAAAATCTATGGGATCAATCTGAAATTTGTCATTCGTAAAGACTTTACAGATGAAAAAAATAATTTTCTAGATTGGTTTATAAATGATGGAGTTATGAAGTAACAAAAAACATACATCTTCCTCCTTTTTTGAAGTTGGTTAAAAAGCTTAAATCTTATTTGAGTAAAGGAAGTTGTCTATCTCTGTGCATACCAAATTTCATTTATTAATTCAGTCACACTTAAATAAATGTGACTGAGTAACATAAATAATCAGCATTATTTCCTTGCTTCCCTAGTCATCTAAATAATTCTTGAATATTGATATCATAAATAATTAAAATGAACATTGATGACAATAAAATATAAGAAGTGTATATATGAATTGTGTATAACATTATCTTCATTTGTAATTTTTAATTTCTTATAAAATGTTGCTGGTCGTCAAAGAGTAAGTCTAAGTAAATTAAAAAAAAAACTTAAGGTATATAAATTTTTCTGTCAATCATTATTATGATAACACTGTTCTCTTAAATTTCCCTTAATTCCCATGTAATTTCCTTTGTTACTACAGGTTTCACTTTATTAATATTAGTTTTTTAATTTTAGAGTGACACAATCCTGGTACGCGACTGTTCAACGTGCACTCATAAAAGACATTCAAGTTTTGTTCACATATGAAGATGACCAGATTGACGGACCAATGTTTGGACTCTTCAATATGGAGTTGACTTCAATCAAACCTAATTATGAGGCGATGATTAAACAAGGCCAGTTGAAAGTCACTGACATGGGAATTGCTACAAGTAAGTTATTTATGAATCAATGTTAAAATCTTGGTTGGATAATTGTTGAAAATTAATAAAAAATATTTGTCATTGAATTTATGTGTGTGATGAATGTGGAAAAAGTGAAAGAGGTTTGTTTGAATCAAAGCATTTGGTTTTCCATTGTTTCTGCCAACCTAATGGGAAATGGGTGTGGCAGATATGTATATGTATGTATGAATTTATGTGTAAAAACTAAATGAAGAGGAAGATTAGTGCTTCTCTAGCTAAATCATGAAAAAATTTGGTGACATATTTTATATCCGAGACAGAATATCGTCCTCAGTTATCCTTAGCTTTGAATTTTTTTTTATACCACTGAGGTGGCAAACAAGCGTACGGCCCACCTGATGGTAAGTGGTTACCGTAGCCTATGAACATCTGCCATACCTCTGGTATTACGCGTGCGTTGCTGACCCTGAAGAAACATCTTTACCCTCCTTTTGAAGAATTGGGTAATATCAGCTTTTTTACATAACTCATAATTTAAGATTCATCATCATCATCATCATCATCATCATCATCATCATAGCCTTTATCTACCCATTGCTGAACATAGGCCTCTCTCATGGACTGTCATAAAACAACTTGTAATTTTAAATTGTGCTTTACTAAAAATCGGCTCCAGTTGTAGCCAAACCTGTTATTTTGATTTAAAAACTAAACTCCTGTATCAATTTTGATAAAATTACTCAAGAAGTTAATCTAAAAGTATATCCTTTCGGTAAAAAAAGATTTCCTAAATCGTTTTATAACTAATGGAGTTATGAGGTAATAAACAAAAAAAAAATACAACGGAATTGAGAACATGAATGTGCTGAATGTGAAAAAGTCTCAATTTTCCGCGCTTAGCCTCTCATTTGGGCATTGTGCGTATGATGTGGCTAGCGGCCAACCGTAGCTATGAACACCTGCAATACCAGAGCTTATTACGCTTCTTCGCAGACCTTGAAGAAACATCTTCACCGTTCCTTTCTAAACGTTGATGGGCCACATCCTCACATTCCATAATTACATGAGCATTTAAGATTCGGCGTCATATCAGCCTTTATCTGCCTCCACAGAACAATAGGTCTCTCTCATTGATTGTCATAAAAAACCCGTTATTGTCCCTATCATTATTTTGAGGTTTTTTTTACTATCTAGATGTAATAAACGTTTGGGTAGTCGTTGATTCAACGTAGGTAAATCTGTTATTTTGATTTAAATCAGTAAATCTATCTTTGGTATCAATTTTGATAAATCCATATTCAAATTGCGAGAACGGAAGAGGAAGAAAATATCCTTTCCTAAAAAAAATCTCAAATCGTTTTAAAACTGTCTGGAGCATCGTTACCATAAGATCCATGTGCCCTCTGTATCCAAAAAAAATAACTCTGTTATTGGAACGGAATTGAGAACATACTACTTTTTTAAGTCTGTTGAAAATCGCATATAATCTAAAAGCCGACCTGTTAAAAACCCGGGAGAGGCCTTTGTTCAATGGTGAACAGTTAATAATTGATATGATGAATGGAACAAAATAATATATTTTTTTTCTCCATGGCTATTCTGTTACAATTTATATGGGGTTCGCTTTCAATCAATCATTCCGGAAGGCTCGCTCGCTACTTTAAGTAGGTGGACATTCAACAAATTGAAAGTATATATTTTATCATATGAAAAAGGGGTTTTAATCAAGCTAAAGTTAATATGGGCACAGCAGCAATTTTTTTTAATATGTGACTTAGAATGGTAATTAAGCTGACGGCCCACTTGATAGAAAGCGGTAACAGTCGCCTATAGACATGAGCAGTACCATGGACATAACAGAATATACTGTTTCGCCCATGAAACTCCCTATGTGTTGCCATTCCTGAGGACTCAGGTGTTATTCCTCTGTACCCTGTAAATTCACGCCATATCCCACCCTTCAAACCGAAATACAGCCATGCAAACACAACTGCTTCACGGTAGAAACACGAATGGAATAGAGGTACCCTAGCAAACGACTTTTGTATAAAGTCTCCCTCTGGCAAAAGTACAAGTCAATTGCAAAAAGCCTATCAATTGCAAAAAGCAATATCAAAATCGGTTTAAAATTACACAAGTGAAATACCAAATTGCATCTCTTGCACAAGAAAAAAAAAAATCAATTTAATCAACATCATCATCATTTCAGCAATTCATTGTCCACTACTTATATAGTATACAAGTTTAGTTTCCAGTATGAATTGGCATCTCTATCCATAATTCCTAATTCTGCCTGTCATATTTATTTATTTTTATTTTAACTTTATTGACCAATAAAACGTGGTACAAAGGACTTAATGCTATAGGTATTCTCTACCAATAAACGTTTAGGATGTGCAAAAATACTATTAAAATAAAATATATATATAAATAAAATTATTTTTTATCTTATATATAAAATGTTCGTGTCGCGGTGTTTGTTACCAAACTCCTCCGAAACGGGATTACTGATTTTTATAAAATTTTGTGTGCATATTGGATAGGTCTGAGAATCGGCCAACATCTATTTTTCATACCCCTCAATGATAAGGGTGACCCTCCCCAAAATCTTTTTTTAATCGACAAAAAATATTCTCCAAATAATGTATATGGCAAAACGTTTGCTGGGTCAGCTAGTTTTACTATAAAATGAAAATTACATATAAAGAAACGTTCATTATATAAATATACATATTTATAAATGTTTATATATTAATACTTAATTGTAAAAATATACAATATGAACATACTTATACACTTAAATATAAACATACTTCGAGATGACCCATCGCCTGTATCCAACAGTCTTCGTGTGACACAATTGATACTGTCACTCCATCTAGTGACTATAAGATAAAATTAATAGCACTTTTTTTTTTTTATAGTAACTGACGTAATCATAAAATTGATCTTTGACATGTTGATTTTTAATGATTTAAATATTTTTATGATATCGTAATGGATTGTTGTGATAATTATAAGTTATGTACTTATTTGTCATTCACTTGAAACATGATACGTATATATGTTATATATAAAATATTAAAAGTACATGAAGGTGAAAGTAAAGAGTTTTTTACAACTTATATACCTTCATACAAGTACATAAGGTTCCTATTTACATTACATTTATGTATGTATATATTTTTTTTATTTATGCTATCTTAAAGGTAAATGACCTTAATAAAAAATGTCTCTTGTTACTGATATTATCTCTTGTTACTGATATTATGGGTCGCAATTTTTTAAATTTACCTTAGTTTAATCACAGTATCATAACTTACTTACTATAGAATAGGCCACCCCTTCCTAATTTATCTTAGTTTAATCACAGTATCATAACTTACTTACTATAGAATAGGCCACCCCTTCCTAATTTATCTTAGTTTAATCACAGTATCATAAAAGTACTTACTATAGAATAGGCCACCTCTTCCTAATTTATCTTAGTTTAATCACAGTATCATAAAAGTACTTACTATAGAATAGGCCACCTCTTCCTAATTTATCTTAGTTTAATCACACTGTCATAAAAGTACTTACTATAGAATAGGCCACCTCTTCCTAATTTATCTTAGTTTAATCACAGTATCATAAAAGTACTTACTATAGAATAGGCCACCTCTTCCTAATTTATCTTAGTTTAATCACAGTATCATAAAAGTACTTACTATAGAATAGGCCACCTCTTCCTAATTTATCTTAGTTTAATCACAGTGTCATAAAAGTACTTACTATAGAATAGGTCACCCCTTTCTTTCCCGTGGGTGTCGTAAAAGGAGACTAAGAGAGGGCTAGGGATGGAAAAGAAACGCTGCTGCGTTTCTTTTAAAATATCTCCAAAGTTTAATTGCGGTTGACGATCTGCCTGCCAAGCGTGGTAACTACTAGCAAAATCTTCCCAAAGCATATGTTCAGCAGTAAACAGTTTTTTTTTAATGGATGATAATGGAATAGTAACCCTACCCGCGCTATACACCGGCGGGGCACCAGTGTGAGATGATAGGTAGTTAGCCCATCACGACGAATTCAACAAGAATTGTTTACGATGGTTTCTAGGGGGAATCACGTGGAGGTCGACCTAATAGGGCGTATTGCTAGCAATGGGGCTGTCAAACTCCATTACTAACAGTCTCTTTCCCCCCAACAGTAGATAGTTAAAGACTGATGATGATGATGATGATCATATCTTACTAATACGCTATCTTAAATAATATAATACCTAATAAATGGAAAAGATTTTGTTTGTTTGTCTATACAAATATTATAAAGAAGAAAGGTTTGATTTTTTATGTTTAAAAAAAAAGGCCTAAGTAAAGCAAAGCCTAGGTAGGTTTCCAGTCTTTTATTGTAAAAGATTTATATTTTGCTCTGCGAATAACTTCATGACTAAATTGAAATGAGACTAACAATAGCGAACTCTATTAAACAATACTAAGTTGTGTAATCCTAGTGTTTTTTAATAGTTTCTAGTTAGGTGTCAGCATCTACTTAAACCTTACAAGCATCTCCTGCGTGTTCCTTCTTTCTTAGTAATATATTGCAAAAAATCTACTTTGTTGTATTTTTTTTAATAGATGATAATGGAAAAGTAACCCCGCCTGTGCTGACGGTATACGCTGGCGGGGCACAAGTGAGGGATGATAGGTAAGGATGAAACGGCAGGTCACTTAGTCAATTGTGATGAATACACTTGAGATTCAACACGATGGTTTTCAGGGGGACCACGTGGAGGTCGACCTGACAGGGTGTATTGTTAGCAATGGTACTGGTAGTCCACATTACTAATAATCCCTTCCTCCTAACTAGGTTGTATTAGACACGGCTTATGGTAGCCGTGACCTCTATGGTGTAATAATATCATGCTTTTTGTAAATGAGACTCCGATTTCGATACTCGGTCGAATCAGTTTAGGAAACGAATATAATACCGATAGGATTAGAATTAGTGTCAAATAGTACATCTATTTGACAGTTTCAGTTATAAGT